TCACACACACACACACACACACACACACACACTACCGGCGTCTGTGGTGTAGCGGGTAGGCACTTCGCCGTTGCCCACAGAAAACCTGAATACGAAAACCGTGAGGGGAGAATTTTTAATACAAAACAATAATTGTGTAGGTGTATCTCGATCTTTTTGCTGGGACGTGGAATTCTTCTCAGTCTGGGTTGGCGCCGATCGGCAATATAATCTAACAATGTAGATTGTAAACGCATAGAGCTTGCTGTTGAGCTGGATTGTATGTACGTCATTCCAAAGCTACCTTTCCTATATATCTATCTATTTAATTCCCTCCTCTTCTATTTAATTCCGTCCTCTGAATGATCTAAATTGTGTCGGAGAGGCGTAAAACACCTACGTTAAAAAATTAAAACTCTCTCCACAGCCGGGAAAAACTACTATCTACCACTACCACACCAGGGGCGACAACTCTCACACAGTAACACCCACGTCTACAGAAAAAAAGGAGACCGTCAGAGATGATGTCACTGTCACTGTCAGCACTCGCCTACCTACTAATAAATAACGTCACTGCACCTCTTATTTCTAAACGTAAATTGTATACAGCGTGGAGATGTCTAAGACAGCCACCCATTCTCCGGCAGAATAGTGGTTGTCTTTGTCTTAGACAGGTGGGCGTCTTGCACAGCGACATTATAAAAATGTAACAGGCTACGTAATGTAAAAAGAATCGCAAAGTGGGAAATGGGATGGTCGTTTGTGCAGGTGTAACTGTACTTTAAAAAAAATTACTTTCGAGACCCATTAGCTCTTGAATGAAAGAGAAAATAGAGAGAAAGCTGAGATTGTTTCAGAGTGTTCTATGGTCTGCATAGAGCTTGCTGTCGAGCGGGGATATGCGCTACACAGAAGCTATTTATAATATTGATATTGCGGCGTCGGTGACCTAGTGGTTAGGCTCTCGGACTCGCAACTGTAAGGTCGTGGGTTCGAATCCCGTCAAGGGCCCGACGTTGTGTCCTTGGGAAAGGCACTGTGCACACATTCTCCTCTCTTCACCCAGGTGGGAATGGGTACCCGGCTATAGACAGTGAACGATCTTGTCAGTTTGATAGCGTTTGAGCGCGTGAAATCCGCTGCTTGCACTGTATGCTTCCGCGGAAGCCAAGAATGTTTCTGAGTGTTCTCAGCGAGGGTCTGCTGGGGTAATAATAAGAATAGTTGTACAGCGCATAGAGCATTCTCTTGAGCATTGATATGCGCTATATAAATGCAATTATTATTATTATTATTATTATTATTACAGGTATTATTATTGTTTTTATTATTATTAAGAGCAGGGGGGCTGAACAAGTGCTGAAGATTAGAGGTGTTGCTACAGAGTAACATACAAAGAAAAGAAGGAGGAGTGATAAGGACGACATATTACGATGTTTGATAAAAAAAAAGAAGGAGCAAACCACACCAGAGGCACCCGCCAACCATAAACAGAAAGATTAAACAATAGTTAGCTAAAGAAAAAAAAGAAAAATACAGAGTAGAAGTAGAAGAAATGGTAGACGATACTGTGAAGAACACAAAGGTCTACCGCATAGGCCTATACTTATGATCATCTTCACCAAGATCATTATCATCGTCATCACGATTATCATCATCACCATCATCATCACCATCGGTCATCATCATCACCACTGTTCATTGCACGGCAGCATTTCAGTCGAGGTGGCCCTGTATTATAACAAGAAATACATACTTTAAAAATCTAGTTGTAAAATTCGGCTGTTATTTTTGTTATCCACATCATAAATGTTATCATCATCAATAATACTATTATTATCATCTTCATCATCAATATCAGCATCCACACCATCTTTATTATCCTCATTGTCACATTGTCTACACAAAGAATTTTGTTAAAAATTTAGTAGAGGCTTTACAGCGCTCACAACTGCATAAGGTCATATGCAAGGGGTGGATGTCAATAAAGTCTTTACAGGGAATCAGGCTTACTCTGCTCACCTCTCTTGCTTCAACAGCCCTAAGTCTGTTTCGACTTTCAAGGCACGTTGGAAATAGCGGGTCACATGAGTGTGACAAACATACAAAAGAAGTAGAGGAAAATGACAATAACAAGGACTGAGAAAGAAAAAGCAGCAGTTCCCTGCTGTAGTTCAGGCACAGTTATGAGCATGACATTGTTGAATCAGCCCATTTACAATTCTACTGTGCATAAGAACGAGAAATGTCCCCCCTTTGGGAATGGCCTAAAGACACTTTAGTCAGTGGCAATGCCCGGGGAGGGGGGGGGGTATACGAAGTAACATTTCTGATTGGAAATTCATTCAGCTTCTTTCATGTAGGCCTACACCGTCAGCGAGCTATTGGAATGTGCAAAACCGAGTAGGCACAATTTTCCAGTTTCATTCTTCTAGAAATTGTACCTACAGTAATCTTTTTTGGGGAGGAGGGGGGGGGGGATGCCTTTTTTGTTTACATATTTAGATTTTGAATGTAGACAATATATTTCTTCAGCACATGCAACCGAAACCACAGATAAAGAAACTGTAATTTTAATACAGAAAAAAATACAATTTTGGGTTTAGAACATTTCAAAGGCTGGCTGATGATAATATGATATAATGTATTATGTACATGATGTATGTCATACCTGCAATGTTAAACAATAGAGCAATGTTAATTATTACTGATCAATTCATAGAAATTATTAGTACACTACCTGTAAGTAAAAACTTTAAGTATATATATATTATTTTAATGTTGTTTCTATGTCCTACTACTACTAAGAAAATGACTGGGTTTTTTGTTGTTTGTCTTTGAGGGGGAAAGCAGGTTGGGTTGCTTTTTTTTCTTCAGGGGGGGGGGGTGGTCAATTAAGTAACAAAAAGCTAAAGTTAAAGCTATTCTTTTCTTGCTTGTGTTTCTAAACATACAGTTCAAAATGAGTTCGTCCCCTTTGTCAAACCAGTGATGTGAATAAGTCTCATACCAGTACTATTAAACAAATATGAATTTTTAAAATAACATAGACTACTTGTACTCTAAACTGTAAAATAGTAGGGCATACTCCTCCAGCCTTTTTGCTTCCAAACATATCGACATTGTCTCTCTTTCGGAGCATCGGTCTACTGTTAATAATAACGAGGAAGTTAAAACCTGAAGTGAGTGAAGTACATGTATAGTACTTGGGCAATCTACTTCCTCTATGTCTACCGAACAGGCAAAACTGTATCATGCAAACTGCTTTAGTCATCATTGAGATCAGATACATATATATGGGCGGCGGAAACTAAATTGACCCTAATGTGTACCTTTGAAGTGCTTGCCTTAGCTTTAGGCTGGTAAGCCTACTGGTAACTACAATAGTCAAGAATGCTGATCAAAATGTCATTGTATTGCTGTTCTAGCTCTATGTGGCAGACATCAATCTTGAGAAAGATATCGCAGTAAAAAAAAAATATTTAGAAAACTGTATAATTTTCAAAATTATTTTCATGTATAATCATGTATTAATCTTTGTTCTGATACATAATAAAAATATAAAACAATTTACCTATTTTGAAGTTACTGTTGTCTATTTTTATCTTATTACTTGTGGTGGACTACTTACCTACCAATCTATATGCCAACTTACACACGTATATGAACATACATCTGTGCACACTTAGCCATACACACCCACACAAGCACATACACACGCATACACTCACAGGGCTCATGAATACATCTATGCATCCAAGAATCAATGCAAACAATACATTTATATTAAGTTATAATTATTTATACACATGTGAAGACAAAATATAATGTATATTACAACTTCATTATTTCCAACTTTAAAAAAAAAAGAAGAAAGAAAGCACACTTTGCATTAAAGTGACATGATTTTGAAACAGTCTTTTTACTCTTTTGCGTTCAGGGTATCAAAAAACTGGAATGCATTTTAAAAAAGACAATCCAGTTGCTTTCATAGTGTAGAAATACTTGGTTCAAAGCACTCAAACAAATACACATATATATAAAAGAATATAATATATATATATAAATATATATATATACATTCCAACACCCAACCAGTGGTAAAGTGGTTATGTGTCTTGTTGCAGCACACAAATCACCTGAGTTCGATTCCCTTGAGGGGAAAACTTTTATCGAGTTGTCTCCATCTTTCTGCTGCAATGTTGCAACCCTCTCAATCCAGGTTGGCCCTGATTGGCAGAGTCAAAGCCTGCTTCCTAAAGTATCTAAACTGTGTTGACGGGGGCATACAAACACTTGTTTTAAGGTGCACACATACATATATAGAACCATACATGCATGAAGGTAGGCTTTCAGACATATAAACAGACGTAGAGGCACAAGGATAAAAGTGGCTGCTGACAAAAAATCCTGAAACTTTTTAAGGGCATAGGCCCAGAAGGAGAAGAAAACCCTCAAAATAATACTGTATAATTCTACCTTACACAATATTTAAATGTAAGAATTACCATTGAACAGGCAAACATGGCACAGGTTTAGGACATTTGAAGTATTACAATTTTGCCTGTTTACATTAAACAGAAGAATGAACAGTGAACAAACACACATGCAAGATGTTTGGTCTTACTTTATTTGCACACTTGAGAGTGTGTGTGTGTAGAGGGCAGTTGCTGAATTCAGCTGAACAAGAAAGCAGCTGAAACCTACCTGAGTCTGAGAAACTAAAAGACTATCTTGAAAAAAGGTATAGGTTTAATGTTCCTATTAACACTATTAGGCTATTTAAGTAGATGCGGAACCTCCGAGTTTAACATCCATCTCCAAAAAGTATGGGAAATTCGTGTAGTAAAGTGCCTTTCCTAAGGACACAACGTCGGCCGAACTGAGGCTCAAACTCCAAACCAGCAATTTCATGATTACGAGTCTGGTAGCCTAACCACTAGGCTACCAACGCCACTAGACTCTCTTGGTGGTGGTGAAGTTTACATATATCAAATCAGAATTCTGTACTAAACTTAATTATAAATCATATTTTGCCAATACCATTGTGCAACTGCTGTAAATTTTTACAAAGCTGTACATCACCCTTGACGTAATAAAGATCATATAAGCTCTTTGATTCTGACTGTCAAGGCCAACCCCATCAGCAAAGCACATAACACCCCATCGGAGAAACGAAGGTATTCAAAGGAAAAAAAGGTGTCTAACCCACTTGGGAATCAAACCTCCATCTTTTTACCCACAGAGCAGGGAATCTAACAGTTAATATTGTCTTTTCAAATGAGCACGTTCAAAGTTGGACTGATTAAGATCATTGTCACCTATAAATTTGCAAACTGAACAGCGAGTCAATGTCTTAGTGTGTCATAGCTTGCCATCAAATATACTGTACTGTATATCTGTCCATAAACATTTATCAAATTAAATCATTGCTATTGTTTATTTGGTTAGTAATTGACCGATCCAGGGTAATCTTAAAAGCTCAGAGAGGAATATTATTTAAAGAAGTTGTTTTGGAAGTATCGCAAAAGTTTTTTAAAACATTTTTATAGTAGAGGGTTTTACGGCGCTCGCAACTGCATAAGGTCATATGAGCGCCAAGGGATGGGTGTCAACAGAGAAGTCTTTACAGGGAATCAGACTTACTCTGTTCACCTCTCTAGCTTCAACAGCACAAGGTCTGCTTCGACTATCAAGGCACGCCGGAAATAGCGGGTGACAAGAGAGTGACAAACATACAAAAAAAGTAGAGGAAAATGACAATAGTGAGGATTAGGAAGGAAAAAGCAGCAGTTCCCTGTTGTAGATCAGGCACAGTTATGAGCGTGACATGAATCAGCCCATTTACAATTCCACTGCGCTTGAACGAGAAATGTCCCCCCTTTGGGAATGGCCTAAAGACACTACAGTCAGTGGCCCCGGGGGGTGCAAAAATCAAAAATAAAGAACGAAGAAAAAACGCAAATCCCAACAAACATCTGTGGTAATGTACAGTGTAAACAATTATAACAAGCCACACTCCACACTAGAACATAGTTTTGAAAGAATGCCATGATATTATATTATTAGGTAAAAACGAACAACAAAATCGGATTTGAACCCAAAAAACTCAGTATATCAACAACTATAAGATCATACCTTAACACCCCAAACGCACGTTTTGAAAAGCACTGAAACACATTTTCCCTTGTTGCAATAATAATCTTAAACATACAGAAGACAGAAATGAGTCAAGTTTTAGTGCCTTTCATATCGTTATTGTCATTGATGATATTACAATGCTGGAAACCATTAGTCTCAGCAGTAAACAATCAGTACTTCAAAAGAAAGCAGAAATCATGATAATATGTGTGCTTGCATATATATGTGTTAGTGTGTGTGTTTACAGGGGTGAAGGCTGACTTTTTTGACAGGATAATCAAAGTGAGACAAGGAGTCAGATAGAGATATCACACAAGAATCTTACTCGAGGCAGCAACACTTGAGTTGTGCGCGTGAATGAAAACAAATTCTGAATTCATATTGTATGTTCAACCGCTAAAATAATCAGGAAAGTATCTCATTAAACATTCATAGCAACTAACACTAAATTTAACTTTAGACATAAATACACAAACAAAAGAACAAGGAAGCAGAGAAGTTTATTTCAAATTTGGCTGTTTTTGTCTAGCTTTCTGTGGCCATGAGCCGGTGTCATAATTGAGGTCACGATCTGATTATACGACGGTAAAAAGTCGAAGAAGAAAAACAAGCACTCATAGCAGTCATGGGATTATTAGGAGTTAGTTCCCCTCACATTTGTGAGGTAGACTCGACCAGTGTTATAGTTAGCGGTGCTTGTGACTGTTTATGACTGTGGCCCGAAAAGGGTGAACAGGGTATATGTGGCAATGAAACAGTTTTGAGTGTTGTGCACATGTTCCCTTCAATTCTTTTGGTAGGCTTTTCCAGCCTCACTTTAAGCTTACATAATCAAAGCTTGTGACTGCTTATGGAGTGGCCCGAAAGGGGTGAACAAGCTATTTACGTGGCAATGAAATAGTTTTGAATGTTAGGCATACTGTTCATTGATGATTATGAATGTCTTTTTACTTTTAATTTAAGAGGTTTACGTGTATAGGTGAATTTGGCTGTGACGATGTTTCAAAATTAGGAAGGAAAGCAGTGACTATTTGATTATATAGACGCTTCGCCCCTGTGTGTTTATAAACGCGGATAGCCAAAAGATTTTCAGGAACATAAATTTTCTTATGCATGCATATATATTCTTTGTGTATAAAACGTACATTACGAAATTTGTACAAAACAAAAACATTTAGACGTCCAACCAATTTCAAATCTGAAAAAAAAATCAGGGCTGAACTTGGAATCAAATCCAGGACACCTGTCAGCTATGGAGAGTAACTTGACACTCAACCACCAAGCTGTAGGTCCACCATCTCCCGAAATAGAAAGTTATCGCCAGCACTGTGAACATTAACTGAGATTTAATTGATTTTAATAAGCACTACTTGTGTAACGGTGTCAATTTTAAACAAGTGAATGACCTGGTGAAACAATGAAACCCTAAACTGCATAAGTGACTGTAAATTCAGACCGCAAAACATGTCAGTCTGACTTTATGGAACCTGCAAAATATTGGCATGAAAAATTACATAATTATTCAAAGCAAAAGGTAACATCATATTATTGTCTGAATTAAAAATAAAGCAATATGTCGGTAAAAATAATATAAAATATATATATATTCATAAACACTCAAACACACATATCTAACAAAGATATACAAAGATCAACATTTCAAGCATAACAACATAATTGAAAGCAGATAAAAATACAATTTTAAGAACGGCAATGAAATCATGGTATTTAAATCTCATTGTTTTTAAGCATAACAATAACATCAATGAAAGCAGGTAAATATATGACTTTAACTTATTTTAAAAACAGCAACTTAACACACCAGTGCCAAACATGGTCCCTACACAAAGCACAAGAAAGAAAAATCAATGTATGCGAAATGAGGCGTCTCTGCAAAACCATCAATGTCACCAGAAGAGACAGCATATGGAGCGAGACCAGACGCCTACAAACAGGAAAACTATCAGTATAAATTTCATTGAGTGTTAAAGAAATGGTTCGGACATCTAACCAGAATGCCCCAGAAACAACTGGCAGCAGCAAGAGCTTACCACACCCGTGAATTTGGCTTCAAATCAAGAGGAAGACAAAGAAGGACTTGGCTGTCTGGGGTTAAAAAGGTCCAGGAATAACATATATATCACATACGCCATACACTTAGCACAGGACTGAAACCTACACCTCCCCTCGACATTCTTAGGATACCAGAGGAATGAAAAAGTAAAGTAACAAAATCATGGTACATCATTTTACAGACCTGCCACTCTATGAAATCCAGAAATCAGGATCTCAGGGAGGGGGGAATCTGGATTCGGTGAAAAAAATCAGGATCAACGACAAATCACTAAGGTGACTGTCAAGCTTACTTTAAAAATTTCCAGGGCTGTCTATTAGTATTATCCAAGCATATGCCCTCAGTGTGCGTGCGTGCGTGTGTGTCAGTGTGCGTGATCATTTTTTTTTAAATCCTGAAGTATCACATCAAGGATTCCTAGTCCAAGTCTACCCCCACCCTCCCCCACCCCACAGTAAATCTTGAAAGACGCTTAAACCAGCATGCATGACCTTTAGTTTACCCCGTCAACGGACGGTCCCCGACACACGTGCAACTCACACTCAGAAGTTACGCGATGTGGACACACAAGTGAAACAGTTTTACAGACGGGTCTTGACAACGGGCCCGACTAACCAGAACTTGGACAAAGCTTGTTTTGAAAGCAACAGCAGGACTATGAATAATAATGATCATTTGTATGTAGCAATTGAAACAGTTATCAAGCCATCATTGGAGAATTCTGAGTGGTAACAAAAACGAAAGTAGATCTTGAGAATGTCCCAAGTCGGAATCCCATATCAATACTACTCCCAGTTGAAACGACACGTATGCTCATAGATCCAACATAACTTGGGGCGAGTCAACTACTAAATTTGGCATCGAATAAAAAAAAAAAAACAGTGCTCCAAGTTCTTGCAGACAAAATGTTTAACGGGTGCTTCCCGCGACAGAGAAGAAGGCAGAGTAAATTTTTTTTTAATCCAGCACAACAGACCGCACAGAAAAATTGGGAGACATGCGATCGAAATCGGGAAAATCAGGATGCTTGAAATTTAAGGCAAATAATCGGGATATCCCAATTAAATCAGGATGAGTTGCAGGTCTGTATCAATTTTAAGCATAACAATAACATCAATCAAAACAGATAAAAAAAATCATGTGAAAAAATTGTTTTAGATCTAGTAGAGTTTTTCCGGGGCTCGCAAATGCATAAGGTCATATATGAGTGCCAAGGAGTGGGTGTCAACAGAGAAGTCTAAACGGGAATCAGGCTTACTCTGCTCACCTCTCTAGTTTCAACAGCACAAAGTCTGCTTCAACTATTAAGGCACCCTGAAAATAGCGTTTCACAAGAGAGTGACAAACATACAAAAGTAGAGGAAAATGACAATAGTAAGGAAGAGGAAAGAAAAAGCAGCAGTTCCTCGTATGCAGTTCAGTCACAGTTATGAGCATGACATTGATAAATCAGCCCATTTACAATTCTACTGTGCATAAGAACATGTCAATGTCTCCCCTTTGGGAATGGCCTAAAGACACTTCAGTCAGTAGCACTGCCCCGGGGGGTTAAAATTAAGGTAAGTGAGCAAATAACATCCTTGTAGTCAATCATTAATACTAAATAGAAATAACAAAACTAATGAAAACTTTGTAAGAAAACCAAAAACATCATTGTCTTAAAAAAATAAAATCATTTTTAGCACACAGAGGACACTATATTATATCAACACATTAGTATTTCAATAACATCACTCCAAGAATACCAGTAACATTCTTACAACCCTGGAGAATTTACCTGAAGGGTACATGCTCAAAGGCTACTGGATAAACAACAGCAACTACCTTAAACTTAAACTGTTGTTTTATACATTGATTTTAACACTGTCACATATTAAAGTATGATCAGTGCTGGACTCTACTTATCAGGCTGTTTTGTGAGAGTGGATGTTATGTTTGGGGGTACTACCCCTTATATAAGATGACAGGGTTAAAATCAGTTTATAAAAATATAATTTATGAGAAAGAGGGAGAGACAGAGAGAGAGAGAGACAGAGAGGGGGGGGAGAGGGAGAAAGAAAGGGAGAGAGAGAGAGAGAGAGAGAGAGAGAGAGAGAGAGAGAGAGAGAGAGAGACACACACACACACAAAAAACAAGCCAAAAAGAAGGACGAAATGTGCAAGAGAACAGCATACAAAAAATCATTTTAAGGTTGAAAAACAGCATCACTTGTAACTGCTCTTAGCTATTTTCTTGTAAAACTAAAACATAACCAGCGACAAATATTCATTAACAACAAAGAGGTTATATTTAGTACTACTAGAGTTCGTGGCAGTGATGTCCCCAACGAAAATGAACTGGGGCTGCGCGTGCCTACCCTGGAATGCTGAACTTTAAGGGAAAGACATGGGCAGTTCAACAAGACGAGCGAGTACTTTTTCGAGAATCACATGGAGGCATCTCCACAGTCTAAGGAGGAAATCTGCAAGATTGTTCTGAAATATGGGGGCAGGGCCGTGTTTAATATACTAGAGCTTGTGGGGAGTGAGGTGGGGGCTCAGAATGTTCATGTCAATGGGGGCGCGCCAGCCATACCTATGAGGGTAGGAAGGCCCCCAAGGTCTGACACGTGCGACGTCATTGCAGCGAGCTCTAGTATTATAATATAACCTCTTTGATCTACAAAGTTTTCTGGTAGGCTAGATACATAACTTCAAACCTGAGTCACTGGTACTTGCGGTGCAGCGGTTAGGCATTTTATTGCTGCATGCAAAGGACATGGGTTTGATTCCCCTATGGAGAGAATATTTACCGAGTAAATGATAGACAATTTCCATCAGTGTCAGAGACAAGATATGTTTCATTTTTAGACTCTGACGTATGTAATGATGTACTCTGGGTAGCAAACGTGTTTTTCGTAGATCACAAACTCACGGAACAGCCAACCTTGGCCCATCACAGAGTCAAAAAACTTCTTGTCGGGGCATCTGCAATAATCCGCAAAACACGTCTTGCATGGGGGACGAACCAGTTTTTTATCACCTGAAGGACAGTAGAATAAACATTAGTATGCTAGGCAAGGGTCAGCTTCTGTCTTTGTCTCTTTCTCTCTTCCTATCTCTCTCTGTCAGTCTGTTTGTCTGTCTGTCTCACTCACACACACACACACAAACACACACACACACACACACACACATACAACATGGTTTTTAACTTTAGTAAGAGTTTTACGGCACGTGCAACACAATTAGGTTAGATAAGTGTCAAAAACAGAGGTGTAACGAGAGAGTACCAAACACAACAAAGAAAGAGAAAAGACAACGGTGATAGATGTCTGAAAGGAAAGAAGAAACAATCCATGCCACAGCACCCACATTTCAGAGATAGTCTTTGGAGCCAGATTGTGGATGTCACCATAAATAGACACAGCAGGATCAAGATTAAAAACAAGACTTGAAACAAGTTATTGTCCGCCAGCTGTTTAGATATTAGAGTCTAGATGTTAAAACAAATTTTTACTGCAGTTTGAAATATTTGTCAGAAGTTCTTGACCAGATTTTCTATAAAAACCATGAAGAGAGAGAGACAGACAAAACATAGAGGGGCAAAAAGGCTGATGGGTACTTAACTTGTCTGGGCTACCAACAAAAGGCTGACTAGTATGAAACTAAATTAAGTGGTTTGGACATCTGACATGTATGGCACCTCACCAGCTTGCCAGTAAAGTGTGCTACAGTCAAATATCAGGGTAAAAGGCAAGAGGAAGACCAAGAAAGAACTGGATCGAGGGCGTGAAGGATATCCTGAAAACATACAACACTCCACCCAGCCAGACCATCCAACTTGCTGGAGACAAGTTCTTTCTCCCCTCGACACCATAGAGACAAGAGGACAGATAAAGTTAAGTAAGTTAGTAAGGTACTAAACTTACCTGGGCCACCGACAAAAACCTTGCCACATAAAAAAGGATCTCCAAGGAGGACCCTGGCCAGGATCATTGTAAGCTTGGTATCCGCAGAGGACCTACTATCTTTCCCATCTGAGGAACAAATCGCCAAAAACCATATAAGGAAGTGAGGAGAACTCAGTTGTTTCAGGAAGACAGGATAGTCACTATTGGAAAATGTCTCATGCCCCCAAGATAATTTTCAGGCATCATGGTCAAAGCAGGCGTGCATCAAAATAATGAAATTGAAGAAACCGGTATTTTTCTGGGCGTTTGGCTTTTTTTTTTTTTTACTTTTCTTTTTTTGGCTCAGCACCTTTTATGTCTTTAAAAACACATTTCTGTATTGATTTTTCTGAAAAACAATTAAATGCACAAAAAACTGTACGTTTTCAGTTTTCAAAGACTCTAAAGCTTTGGAAGTCACCAAACTTTGGTGGCCATTTTATTGCAAACTTTACTTCTGAAGCAAGGTGGCCCCGACCTTTTAGAATCACAAAAATCTATACTTCGATTCAAGATAGATATGTGTATTTTTTTTATCGAAAGATAGACAAATTAAACAAGATTTAAGATGATACATGTACTAATAACTCCACATGCCCAAAAATTGACCAGCAACTGATTCCACTGTGTCATGACACATTTAGATTGTTCAGGGAACAGAAAAGGTTGAAGGAAAAGCAGAGAGCGCACAGACTATAGACATGGGGAAAAGGGAAAAGCTAAAAAATTCAGGATCTAATTCAGGAGGAGGGTTACTTTGAAACCAGCGGTCACGGCCAACATGTGCTGAATGGGATTCAGCATTCAGGCAGCAAGATGGGGAAATGTGAAGAAACAATGCTGGACTCGAACTTGCGTCATTTGTGTGCCAGACAAAGACGCTGTCACTGCATCACAGACGCTGGTGAAACCTGCTTATAATATGCAAATAAATTTGGTGTTTTACTTCATTATGTACAGCTAAGTCCAGATGGCTTGACTCTGTCAGTAGCAACAGCGTTACTGGGTTTGTGTTTCATATAACAGTAAGAAAGAAAATAAATCAAGGTTTTGTTTTCTCAAATTGACTGAACGCATTGAACATCTTTTGTGATGAAACCCTTCATACACATCCAGGGTAAAAATGTCTGTCTTCTTTTAGTTAATGGTCACCAGTAGTGGAGATACAGTAGTGCCGACGAAGGCAACCTGTCAGGTGGCACAATTATAAAAGTGCAAGTTATAAAAGTGACTCGTTGGCCTTTGCAACACAATAAAATCCATGGTCATTCTCTTGACTAAACTAGCTTTTTTTC